TCAAAATAGCATGGCACTGGCATAAAAAAAAGACATATAGGCCAATGGAAGGGAATAGAGACCCCAGAAATAAATCCATACACTTAACAATTGATCAACAAAGATGCCAAGAACACACAATGGGGAAACAATAGTCTTCAGTCAATGGTGTTGGAAAAACTGGTTATCCACATACAGAAAAATAAAATCGGACTCTTATTTCTCACCATATGCAAAAATCAACTTAAAATGGATTAAAGACTGAAATATAACACCTGAAACTGTAAAACTGCTAAAAGAAAACATAGGATAAAAGCTTCTTGGGCCGGCCCGGTGGCGCACTGGATAAGTGCGCCGCTTGGGAAGTGCGGCGGCGCTTCCGCCCGAGGGTTCGGATCCCACATACAGACCGGTTCCCGCTCACTGGCTGAGCGAGGCGCGGGAGCAACACCGAGGGTTGCAATCCCGTTGCCGGTCCCCGGTCCGGTACGGGGGCAACACTGAGGGTTGCGATCCGTTGCCGGACACGGAAAAAGACAAAAGACAAAAAAAAAAAGCTTCTTGACACTAGCCTCAGCAATTTTTTGGATGTGACACCCAAAGCACAAGCAACAAAAGCAAAAATAGACAAATGAGATTACATCAAACTAAAAAGCTTCTGTGCAGCAAAAGAAACAATCAAACTGAGTGAGAAGACAAACTATGAAATGGGATAAAATATTTGCAAACCATACATCTGATAAGGGGTTAATGTCTAAAATATATAAGGAACTCAGGCAGCTAAATAGCAAGAAAACAAATAACCAATTAAAAAATGGGCAAAAGCCCTGAATAGACCTCTCTCAAAAGAAGACATACAAATGGCCGACAGGTATATGAAAAGATATTCAATATCACTAATCATCAGGGAATGCAAATCAAAACCATCAAATGAGATATCACCTCACACCTGTAAGAATGGCTATTATCAAAAAGACAAAACATAACAAGTGTTGACGAGGTTGTGGAGAAAAAAGAACTCTCGTGCACTGCTGGTAGGAATGTAAATTAGTATAGCCACTATGGTAAACAGTGTTGAGGTTCCTTAAAATTAAGAACAGAACTACCATATTGTCCAGCAATCCCACTTCTGGGTATATATCCAAAAGAAATTAAATCAGTATGTCAATGAGAGCTGCACTCTTACGTTTACTGCAGCATTATTCATAATAGCCAAGATATGGAACAAACCAAAGTGCCCATAAATGAGTGAATGGATAAAGAAAATGTAATGTGTGTGTGTGTGTGTGTGTGTGTGTGTACACAAGGGAATACTATTTACCTTTAAAAAATAAGGATATCATTGCATTTGCCATAATGTAGATGAAACTTGAGGAGATTATTTTTACCTTGAGCAAGGCGCAATAAGCCAGGCACAAAAAAGACAAATACTGTATGATCTCATTTCTATGTGGAATCTAAAAAAGTCAAATTCATAGAAACAGAGAGTAGAATGGTGGTTACCAGGGGCTTGGGGAAAGGAAGGAATGAAGAGATATTGGTCAAAGTGTACAAAGTTTCAGTTAAGTAGGATGAATAAGTTCTGGAGATCTAATGTATAGCTTGGTGACTGCAGTTAATAATAATGTGTTATATACTTGAAATTTGCTGGGTAGCTCTCACCACAAAACGAAAAAAGATAACCATGTCAGGTGATGGATATGTTAATTATTTTGATTACTGTAATCATTTCACAATGTTTACATACATTAAAGCATCATGTGCACACCACGAATATGCATTTTTTATTTATCATACCACAGTAAAGCTGGAAATAAAACCATTTATTTATCTGTGGTATTAGCTCTCTTTTAACATCAAAAGTAGTTAGAGTACACCAAAGCAAGCATGTCCCAAAGGGATCAATTTATAAATAATAAAAATGAGCTACTAGAGCTCTTGGTTTCAAATAAAATAAAAGAAAACAAGAAAACATAAAAGAGCGAGAAGGAGGGAAGGAAGGAAGGAGAGAAGGAAGGGAGGAAGGGAGGAAGGGAGGAAGGGAGGAAGGGAGGGAAGCTTTGCCCCTTCATCAACCAGGGCGTGGTGGGTCAAATACCCTCAAAGGGCATGAAGGGTGAAAACCAATGCCATCACTCCTCCTGCAGTATTCCTGATCTTAAAAAGAGGCACCAGCCACCAAGAGAATGGCATAGCCATTAATCCACTTTTACAAGCTAGATATCTAATGGCCCTACTTGTCACATTCCTCTTCCCCAAGGTTTCTGGCACATGGTGAGCAATCATTATTTCTTGAATGATGAATGGGCAGTTCAAGGGGGTCACTAACAAGCAGCTAAAGCAAAAAAATTAAAACAACAAAACAACAACAACAAAAATAGCTTGTTTCTATTCACCAGGATCATGTTGATCAGAGTCTGAAAAGTCAAATTATTTCAAATTTCATAATGAGTAAATTCAATGATTTTATTTAAACTGTAGATTTTTTGGCATCCCATAGATGTGGCCATAATTACATAATTAGAATATTCCTTGAATTACAGAAATTCAGAATTTTATTGCTAAATTGGGCTTTAACAATTTTTTAGTAGAGGTCCCTCATTATATAAGAAAGGATCTTAGAAGATCTGCAAAAGGTCATCCAGGTGGTTAGTGAGAGAAAAGAGATGAAGACCAGCCATTTTAACTCCCTGTCCAATGTTTCTCCCCACAGCTATGCTGCGATTTCTAGTTTTATGGTTTTATTTTTATATTAGAAATTTGTAATATGGAATACACATTAAAGAAATATCTCCAAATGTCTAATTTGGTCAAATCATTTAGATTTCTGCTTTTAAACATTAAAATAAGTAGCAGTATTTTTTAGAAGGGTAAAAGCAAGCTTAATTTGGTAAAAGGTGAACACTTTCATTATCCATTTACAATTTATGTTGTATGCCTTAAATGGGGGCAAATAGAAGATGATACATGTTTCCTTAGTTCCTCAATGTTCTGAAGCAATAAAATGCTCCATTTAATATCTGGTTGTCCATAATTCAATTTATTAAGACCCAAAGGTAGGTAGGTTTCAAGGAAGTATTAGGGGAAGTGAAAAGCGCTACTGGTGTCCAATCTATTCCAACTTGTTGTGTGACCTTGGACTACTTATTTCTCATCTGTGGATTTCTGTTTCCTCATCTGTACAATCAGGGGATTGATTTAAATCATGGGCTCTCACCATGGGGTCTGCTGATGAGTCCCATTAAGCCCTTTGGTGTGTGCAGGTGAGTGTGGATTTTTCTGGGGAGAGGATTTGTAGTTTCTATTAGATTGTCAAAAGGGTCTGGGACACAAAACAGGTTAATTGCCTCTGTGCTAATATCTGAGGTCTCTTCTAACTTTTGAAATGTAAGATAGCTATAAATATAATTATCATTTCAGATGGAAAATAAGAATTAGTACAATTTTTAGTAAAAATAAGATTATTTGAAAAGCACATTCTGCACATGGTACATTCAAGTGTTAGCTGAAGAGTTCACTAGAAGCCCATTCTAGATTTTCCATAATTAGCATCAATTGCACCAGACAATGTAAGTACACATGGTAAATCTAAACATATCACAGATTTTTAGTCTTGCCTTTTTATCATCAATGTTTTAGTGGGCCATCAAGGTAGGCTGCTACTTAGGATTACATGAGGTGGAGACAACCAAGAGCAATATGCGAGCAAATAACACTCCTTTCTCAATTTTTAGGATATCCATTCCAAAACCATTTCGATGATCACGTTTGGATGACTGAATAGCCACAGTTCTTATATTATACATATGATTTTAAGAGACCCAGAAATAAAAGTCATTCTGCTTATTAACTTATTTCGTTTCTTCCTTCCATCCTTAATTTAATAAATATCTGTTAATTGTCTATATGTGTTGGGAACTCTCCTAGACACTTAGGAAATATCAGTGAATAGAATAAATATATTCCACCCTCATGGTGTCTACACTCTAGAAGAAAGAAATAAAATAAACAATATATGTAAAAATAAGTAACTCATGTGTTAGTTTTAAGAGTGATAAACACTTTGGCAAAAAAGGGGAAAAAAAGAAAAAAGAAAAAGGGTAGAAAGGTAGGAGACTGGGAATACCAGAAGTGAGGGGAATGGTTCCAATTTCACATTAGTCAGGGCAGGCCACAACAAGAGGTCATTTAACAAAGACCTGAGGAGGAAAGAGGGGAAGCCAAGTACATGGTCTTGAGGAAGAGGTTTCCAGGGAGAGGGAGGAGATAGGACAAAGGTATGCTTGATTAGTTCAAGGAATAGCAAGTTCCTACGAATGTGGAAGGGAAAAGGCAAAAATCATCCTGCTGTTGTGGTCATGAAATTTGTGAACTTTCATCTTCCAGTTGACACCTCAAATTCTATTACTTTCATGTTTAAAATGAAAGTCGTAAAGTCGTAGGGTCTTTTGTATAATCTTATTAGAGTCCCATACTTGTCAAGTAAGGCTAAGTCAAAATTCTGAGAATTTTAAATCATCCAAAACCATGATCTCTAGTTGGCTTACATTTCAAGTCTCTCTGTTCCCACAAATGTATTTTTGGTAATGAAATTGTTATGTGATATGCAAACATTCCATTCAAGAGGATGATATCACTATAAAGAAATCAAGTAAATGATCTTCATTTTGGAAATTTAAGAATAGGCACAAAGAGATTTGTTAGTCCATCAAAGAGGAATTCCAAGATTCGTAGTTAACATGAAAGCACCCATTCTTTCAGAAATGTCACCATTCCTTTTAGTCATTTACTACATTGTTAGTTTCATTGACTTTTTTTTCCCAGAAATTGAAACAATCGTGATTATTGTAGTTTACATGGCATTTGTCTGGGTTAATAACTCAAAAACAAGACCCATATTAAAGCAGTATTTTTTCTTTTTTTTTTTTTCTGAGGGTAGGGTCACGCAGCCCTCCCCCACTTGATCATGAACCGTGATCTCGCAAGAATGTAAGTATAACATAAAACCCACTCAACCATACCTTGCCCAGCTGGTCCTTTTTGCCAAAGCCAGTGGCGGCTGCAATGCTCCCTGCTCCCTCCACAGTCTTCTGGGCTACTGCTGTCACACCAGTCACCACCGCCCCTCCAACGTTTGTCACTTGCTCTTTGGTCTTCTCAGCCACTGGAATAAATGAAGAACAACACAACCGATTAAAGTTGATGGAATGACGGTGATTTACAATAATTCCACTTCCACTAGCCGTCAACTTCTATATACCTATATTTACACACACCATGGACAACTGAAGGGCCAGAAGAGATAAACGATACCAAGATTTCTAAGTGAGCGTGGTTCAGTCAAACACTGAACTTTTGCTAAGATATTTTGTTGTAATCAGGCAGATGTTAAAAGGTGCTTCAAGTTTAATGATCACGAATGTAGAGCTGTGAGCGATTTAGGTTTGGTTTATATTAAGAAAACTTTACAGAAAGCAAGGGTTGCAGGTGAAGTTATAGTTAAATTAGACTCAGCATGAAATGCATTTCTTTATTTCAATTTCAGTGCTGATTCTTTGATCTCACTCAGCAACTTCATTTTCAGCACGTTTTCTGAGTAACACAGGACATGCTGTTTATCTACGTGTTCACCATGTTACTACAAGAAATAAACAATAGTATAAGGGATGGTTATGAAGGAACTTTGATCCTTTTATAAAACTTCAGGTAGTTTAACTGAAAGATTCTTAATAATAAAATTGATTTTCAGTAACTTTAATGAGAACAAAGGAGCTAGGCTTTAAATACAGTATGAAAGTACTGATCACACAATTTCTTTTCATAAAACAAAATATATGATGATTCAGTAGATTTTTTTTAAATAAGCATAAAAGTTTAGAGAATATAATGTAAATAGTTTGGATTGGATTTATAAACAGATGTAATTTCACATCAAAAATTCTCCAAAACATCCTATAACTATATCTAACTGCTGAATCAATTTTTCTGTATTATATCCATACGATCACATAAAGGAAACTCCAATAAAAAAATTTTATTTAAATTAACTGAAGAGCTCTATGAAAAAGCAACAAAGATAAGAGATTCTGCTGTTTCAATAATTCCAAGGTCAGTACAGAGATAAAACAAGACTGTTCATCTAAACCTCTATAACGTCTGTGGCCACAAAACATCAGGTCTCGCATCTCTTATCTATTTATTTTGCCCCACAAACTCATTCTTTGTCTTTTTTTCAAGTTGCAGGAATTTTGGATTTTGAGAGATATTCTCCCTTAGGTGCAAATGAAGACACACATTTTTTGTTATGCTTTATACTTTCTAGTTAAGTCTCAGTCTGAGCAACCCAAGGAGTTACACCATGTCAGAAATAAGTGCTATTCACATAAACATCGTACAGATTTCATGTCACCACTTGGAGATCTAATAATTAAACAATCGTTTTCAAAAAGACAATTTAAGTCAGTGGAAGCTAAGGTAAGTCTATAAGGACAAGAAGCTTACTCTTTAGTCCAGGCAAAGTAGAGAAGCCTGAGGTGGCCATACAGCCTAAAACCAGAAAGAGTCCACAGCAGATGTTATCCTATGTCTGTCTTTCAGGCTAGAATTTTGTAGGTTTACCTACTGGCTCCAATGCCTCCTAAAGAGAAACAGCTATTCACAATTCAAAGTTCAATTTAAATGCAAGTGAAAAGCTATGCTGGAAATTCTGTGTCCTCGAACATTTCTGTAATGTTGATCCTTTAAAAAGAATGAATCATGTGCTTCAAGTTGCCATTTTCTTCTTCTCCAAGAACATGAATAAGAAATTTTTCTTGAAATGAACATTTTCTTGTTATAAAATCTCAAAGCAAGATCAAAATAGGTTTTGATTTTTTTATAGACCCGTAGTTTTTTTGCCAGCCATGAATTTTACAGTATCTAGAAATTCCTTTATATAGGTATAAATTTTAATGTATTGCTTTAGTGCATATAAACTGCACAGTAAAGTTTACTTTGTACATTATCATAATTTCATTAGGTTTTATTATTATAATAAATTAGTTATATTAAAAATTACAGAGTGTACAGGTAGCAATAATAGACACATTTAAAAAGATTTCTATAGAACTGATTTCTGTAGTAGTCTCTCCACTGACCTTGGGACCCTGTTTTCCCCATTTAAGGCCTTTTAAACTGTTTCTGTCTTCACTGACATTCCAAACAAAGGGTGACAAAACAAAAGTAAAGGAGACACTCAACTTAGTACATTTTGGATCTAATAAATGGTATTTATTTTTAAGGGAAAAAGACCTTATAACCAGGATCAAAAAGGATACTTTCCTCCCAACCAATTGGTACTATATTTTGAACCCACGTATGTTTTCCCAAATATGTCAGTCTTTCCCATTTTGGTTCATACAGCTCTTGTCTGGCTAGAAATCTCACTCCTATTTACTCAGCAAACTCAATTCTTTTGTTAAAAGCCAACTCAAATGTAACATTGCATGTTAAAAACCTCTCCTCCCAACAAGTGCCTTTGTTCCTCCTCCTGTGAGCCTATAAAATTTTAGATATATTTCTGCTATCAAACTTTTTACATAGGGCCTTAATTATTCATTTACCAATATGTCTGCCCACCTCCACCACCCCATTTTGAGTTCTTTAAAATCAGGGATCTTGCTTTATTTTCTTTATAGTATTTCATAGTAGATACTCAATGAATAATTCAGAATACACTAAAAGTAATTTTGTCTATCTTTAATGTATATATTAACTTCAATAATTAGATTTATATTTGATTTTAACTAAGTTAAAAATAAAATTCCAAAAAGGAAACGTGGCACCAGCTTTTATTTTTTTTTTTTAATTTTTATTTTGTCAATATACAATGTAGTTGATTATTATGGCACCAGCTTTTAGAATAAAGTAAATCTAAATTTTGATATTAAACAAAATTATAAAATTAAAAAGATGTACCTTTGAATTGGTATACAAATGATGGATTTGAGGAAAATAAAATTCAAACAATCTACAAAGGATATTTAATTTATGATATGTTGAAAATTAGTTTTGTTAATGATGATGTAATAAATTTCTATCTATAAGAATCAAAACCTTCAGAAAATCTCCAATATTAGGAATTTTTTTACACCATGCTTGTATGAAAAACAAACAAGTAAGTTTATATCATAATTTATGTTTGAAAGCACCTTTTGAAGACATGTTATTCAGTAAGTCCAAGTACATTTTCATAAACATGATGTATCAAGTTGACAACTGAAATAATTTCTGGAGATCAAAATACCAGGATTTAAGGCAAAATTTTCTGGAATTTACCTTGAGCTTATCTACCTAGGAGAACTTATTTTCCTTGGATTTTGTAGGTAGAAATCTCCTGGCATAAATTTACTGGAAACTACATTTCTTTTTTTTTTTTTTTTTTGTCTTTTGTCTTTTTCCGTGTCCGGCAACGGATCGCAACCCTCAGTGTTGCCCCCGCACCAGACCGGGGACCAGCAACGGGATTGCAACCCCCGGTGCTGCTCCCGCGCCTCGCTCAGCCAGTGAGCGGGAACCGGTCTGTACATGGGATCCGAACCCTCGGGCGGGAGCGCCGCCGCACTTCCCAAGCGGCGCACTTATCCAGTGCGCCACCGGGCCGGCCCTGGAAACTACATTTCTGCAAAAACAGCTAATGGGCTGAATCTTAGGGAAATTGTTCTTTTATCATTAGTAGATAATATTATATATTATATAATAGGTTCTTGCTTCCCTGCATTAAGATTAATAACACTAATAAATAACATTTATTTAGCACTTATCACATACGCATAATAAACATTTTAGACCAAACATAATAAGCAATCATTTCTCCCTCTCCTTAACCATCTAATAATCTCAAACGTTTTTTCCTCATAATTGAAATATAGAATTTTATATTAAATAATCCTACTTAACAAATTAAGTAATTCATTCCTCTAACATGGCAGAAGAATAGTACTTATTGCAGTTGATTTCTCCCAATGTTTCTCATAGCCAGACTAGTTTTGATAACATTTTTGATATTTTACTACCGCCAGGGTGGTTAACTGATGCAATGGCTGTAAATATCGCCCATGCCAAAATCATCACATTCTTGGGGCTTAGCACCATTTCCCATCATAGTTTGATTTGATCCTAGTAACTTTTGCAAGAAGTTTCCAATAGTTAAATAAGCTTGAAAACCCCTGGGTTAAACTACGTTATACAAATTTCTTTACTGTAGGACATCTCAGATTCTTTAATATGCTAAAGTGAAGATACAGTATGCAAAGTTTCCCAACATTATAAAACCATGGGAACACAAGCTTGTGGGCTACTGTCTTTTAGAAAATGTTTTGTAAAATGTTGCTTTATTGTACAAACTTCAGTCTCTCTCTTTCTCTGTCTCTCCCTCTCTCTCATACACACACACACAGACACACACACACAAACACATACTTAAACTCTTTGCAGCTCATCTCAATGTCCTCCATTAGATGACGATATTAGCTGGGCTGTTTAATTTTTACCACAGGCTCAGAACCTTGCACTTGCTCACCTACTTTCTAAACCACACGGGTTCTCCCTCAACTATCAAAACAGAACCCCATTAATCTAGGTTGGCCTTCTTTAGATACTACAGTTTTCAACTGTCTGCTATCCAATTCTTATGAAAATCATGCTTTATAACATCATACTGATAGAAGGTCCCTAGAAGGCAACACAGTCCATTTGCTTGCCTAGTTTTCTGCATTACATTTTGGATTGCAACAGAGCAAACGAAAGCTGCATAATTAGCTTCTAACAGAATCAGTTTCAAAGGATTCTGTTTTATTTTTACACTCTCATTTTTTATCAAAAGTATGCATTAAAAAAGTCATATAAAATACTTTTCTCCATTAGCTGTAAGACTGTTGCCTAAGAAAGGTCCACTGTAAAGCAATATGTAACAGGTATATAATACATACTATTTACTTTCAGTTTTCTTGGTGCTTTGTGTACATTTATTCACTCAATTCTTTTACAGATAAGGAAACTAAATCACGTAGAGGTTAAGAATCTTGCAGAAAATCATACAGCTAATAAAGGGTAAGCAGAAATTTGAGCCAAGGAGGTCTGACTCTAGCATTCATGGTCTTATCCACAAGACTGTATTAAGTTCCCATTTCATTTTCCCCATTTTTATTTTATAATTTGGTGGTAGAAACATGGTATTTTTATGAGGCTGTATTATGTTTAATGCATTCTGATTATGTGAATTATATTTCTGATTGTACCTCTTGTTTTACCACCTGCCAGGAAGAATGAAGTATGTACAACATGAAACTCAACTATAGCAAGACTGTGGATACGTAATTTGTTAAATTTTAATTCTCCTTTAACTTTTCTGTTTCCATCACTGTCATGCTTATCTTTCTCATCATCATCACTATCATCATTTTCATCATTTTTGCTATTTCTTTATTGTAAATCTTCTTATATACCTATTCAAATTCTTGGTAAAATTAAGTCAAATAGAGATGAATACAATAAATAATTTATTGATCACCCCAAGGGTGTTCCCCAAAATGTACTCTGAATCATCAAGGAAATATTATAATCAATATAGTTTAGGGTCAGAACATTTTATTATACTCTAGAGAAAAATTTTACTTTAATCCTTTGAAAAGTGACAATCTTTATCTTTTCCTTATACTACTAGTTTGCCAATACATTATTGGTCAGAAAACTCAAATACCAAACTACTATAAATTAAATATAGAGTCAGTTCAAAGTCACCATTCTTGGCAATTAAATATGTTCTATTCATTTATAATAAATACCTACATTTTCAAAAATACTTTATAAATAATTAAGGTTAAACAAGGCTGATATTCCCCTAAAATGCTCCTCTATAGGCACAAAGGTTATTTTAAATTACATTCTGAATGACCAATGCTGGGGCCTCCCTGATTACTAGACATTTTGAACATCATCCCTGGACACAAGCCTCATGGAACTTACCTGTTGTCACACCATGAACCACTCCCTCCTTGGTTTTGGAACCTACAAAAACAAACAAATTCAAAAACATAATTCTCAAACGGGACTTACATTGCTTATTTGCTAGTTTAAGTACAACACATTAAAAAATCTCAGTGTTCAGAAGCCCATATATAATAATATCCTCAGGAGGCAAAAAGAAAAAAAAATTAAAATGAAGATATCCCTTAACCACCACAACAAATACAAGAAAGCAAAGTTAACAGGAGATTCTCTTCAATTAAAATTTTAGCACAAAATGATGACTTTTATCCCCTTGCTTCCCACTTCACACATTAACTTACAGAAGAGGAAAAAAGTGAGATAACACTACAGCTCAGTGAGAAGATTATTTTGGATTCAAAACTGTAGAAGCTTTAAAAGTATAGCACAACAGAGAGATTAGTTAACCCATGAAACACAAATAGAAGGCAGAGGGAAAGAAGGTATTAACATTTGTTAAACACCTATTAAGTAAAAAACATTTTACATCTCATCTCATTTAATCTTTATAACATCCATTGAATATAAGTGTATTATGCTCATCATATATGAAGAAATTAAAAATCAGAGTTAAGTGATTTGCCTAGTGTTACACATGTAATAACAGGCTATAAGCACATTCAAACTAGGTCTCTATGCAAGGTAAGAATTTTCTCCAAACTTTGACCATCACTAAACTTGTATACAAATAATTATTATATGTATTACTAAAACTAAGTTTAACAATTTTATTCATATCCTCTCTAATGTTGCATTTTTAGTGTAATTCACACAAGTTTTTAATTACAGTAAAATGTTTTTGAAGAAAATAACAACAATAGATTGGAGATTCATTTGAAAATTATCCTTTAACTCAAATAATGTAGTTGTATCAAGACATAGCAAAGTATAAGGACATGAGAACATGAAAACTGAGAATGATTTAAACCTATATGTGAATGTTATGATAGTTAACAACCTTCGGTTTTAAAATGCACTAAGTTTTAAAATCTCCTTACTAACTAAACAAGGATTAACTGTAAACACCTTTTAAAACCAAGGAAAAAAATGTAAGGGAGCCTCAGTTTCCTCTTCAGTAAAATTAATAGATAAGATTAATTAATTATTCTCAAAGAAACTGGTTTTTAAAACCGTAAAGTATAGAATAATCACTTGGGTGGGAGTGCTAGTAAAAATACTGAGCAGAGTCAGAGCTCCCAATATTCAGCCAATACAAAGAGCAGATATTTGCATTTTTAACAACCCTCGTGACCTAATACAGGTAGTTCGTGGATCAAATTTTGAGAAATACTGAACTGAGGTAGTCTCTGGGTCCAAATTTGTTCAAATTTAGAAGTATATTTTTATGATCTCAATAATAAGTTGATCAATAACATGATCTAAATAAAAATACAGACTCTTATTGAAAATGTTCATTGAATATTTTCATAAACATACATAAATTTGACATTAAGTGAAATTTGCATGCACCATATTTAAACCTGTATGGTACAAAACAGTCAAGAGGAGTTTCCTATTTTAAGAAAATGATTTAAAAATGTTTAAGAACTTTCTACTTAAATATATTTAAGGATCTCCAATAAAAATAAAACATGCAATAAACTATAGCTTTGTAGTTAAGAATGTAGGTTCTGGGTTCAGAGTGTCAGGGTTTAAATCTTCACTTCACTGTAAAATAATCAAATATATGTTATTGGGTCAATATGAAGATCAAGGAAAATAATTTATACAAAGTTCTTAAAACTGTTTTGTACATAGCAAATACTTCATAAGTGATAACTATAATTACTATTATTCAAATACAATATTTGTAAAGAGATTTGCAGCTTAAAGCTCAAGACAAATCACCAAATTATAAAAGTCATCTAGATGAAATTGTGCACTTGTTAAATATGTTCAAGGACACAGGATAGTATTTTATATATATATGTATGTATGTATATATATATATATATGTATGTGTGTGTATTTTACAGGCAAAGCTTACTTTGCATGATACATGATACTGTGGGATTATAAAATGACTGTGCAAGCTGAGCTGAAGCTGTAGTAAGTAATCTTAATAATCAATGAGAAAAGTTATGACTCATCAGTGGTAAAAATTATGATTGTTTCATGACCTTTAAAATTTTTTGTCAAAACTTAAAAAATTCTCTTAGTTATTTATAAATATATGAGGAATTTTAAAAAATGCTAAAACTAATGTTTATTTAGGATACAGTACTGTAATTTAAAATATTAAGAATTAAAGTGTTTTATTTCTTTTTAAGAAACTTATCGAGTAGTTTAAACAGTTTTGCCTTTTTCTCACTGCATAACTTCCCACATGGAGTGGGGCATATTTTATATGTCTTACAGAATTGTCATTCTCCTTTCTAAGTTTAGATTAGCTTCCAAAATGTTACCCTTTGCACTTTCAGTGTCATGAGATATCTCAGATAGCTCCTTTAACATGAGATGTTTTTGCAGCACCACTTCCTCTGGGACACTTTCACCCTATGTTCACAACCACTTTCCCATTTATGTTCTTACATTTATTTCCCACAAGTTCCTTTGGCTGCACATCTAGAGGCTCTTGAATTGCAGCAGTGACAACATCCTCACAATCGGCTATTTCTTCTATAAATCAGTTTACATTTGATTCAAACTTTGCTTCCAGCACATTTCACTTCATTTCTTTGCTGTACTTTCTTCTTTGTTGACCAGTTTCCTCTTTCAATTATGCATTTTAGTAAAATATCACGTGGGTTTATCACTGAGAGACAAAGAGGCATCACAACTACAGGAGTTGCTGTCTGTATGAACTAACAGATGTGAAGTGACCAATCACCAATGAACTGTGAAAGAAGTGACATGATTTGGTCTTAAGTTATAACGGATTTCTGTTATTTACGTAATAGTTTGCGGGCTGAATAGCTAGCAATAAAATTTGTAATTTATGCAATTACTTTTAGTTTACATACTGTGGTAACAGAAATTTGAATTATGTTGTTAGGGTACTGGTGTTATTTAATTAACTGTGGTAACTGGAATTTGTGTATACTGGAAACATGCATAATAATAGTGGCTTGTATTTAACATAATATTTCCCATCTCTATCCCTCACCCTACCCCCTCCACCCCATATTTTTAAAAAATGACTAGTAGAAAGAAAAGTTTAATGGCTGGTCTATGGTCTTTCTTCTCTGCTTCAGTAGTACCTGAGAATTTGACCTTTGGTTAAATCACGGAATGTATCTAGAATCAGAGACAAATGAAGGTCCTGATTAGGTTGTTATATATCAAACTAATCACCTGTTCTTTGCTGACATAATTTTTATTGTAATCTGTAATCGACAATTAATTTATAATACGTGAGTGATCTGTAATTGGTAAGATATAGCTATAAAATAAGTGCCAAGTAGTTATGAGACTAGCAAGACATAAAAGTTAGAGGGACACCATAGGCGCTGGCTGCTCTGAGCTGAGGTGGCCAACACCCACTGTATCTTGTCTTGCATGATCTCACAAGGATGCAGAGTGGAAAGGTCAGACATAATGTCTGGGAGCTGCAAGAACTCAGCTCTACTGTGTTGTGCACATTATGTTGACTTTCTCAACTTGGCAAAGAGAAGCATATTGTGACTTGAGAGTCTGATATCAATCACATTGAAGACCACTGCTGCTTATTGAGCAGAGTGGCATTGGAAGAGTTTTTAAGAACATCATGTTCTTGCATTTATTGTTGTTATACTTGGCTTTATATAAAGATAATTACATTTTTTTCTGCTTTCTTAAAAAAATTGATCAATATACAATGTAGATGATTTTCGTGTCCCTTTACCTCTGAGTAATTTGACTGAGGAAACTTATGTCTACTAAATTGAAGCATGTTGACTGAAAATTTGTGTACACAGACATCACAAAAAGAGGGAAAAAAATTTTAAAAACACTGATAATTATGGTAGTTCTTCAATTAGTTAAAAGGTAGTTGCAAAAATATATTCTTATAAAGGAATGAGATTACTTTTTTATGAGGCTTCTGCCAAACTTCTTCAGCCGTAAGTGAAATTCTTTGGTCACTTCTAATCTTTCAAACTAGTTATTGATAGTACTTTTTGTAACAAAGGATGAAAAAATAAAAAGAAAACATGTTGGCAAAGTAATTTTCCTGTTGGAGAGTTTATTTGATAATAATAACCAGGATTTCTATACGTGAAAGTGTGCTCAATTATTCATATGTTGTTTTATTGTGACATTCTCACAAAAACTCTGCAAGGTAGCTGCATTTTTCTAAATCATATTTTTACAAATGAGGAAAATGATGATTAGAGATGTTATCCTTTGCACTTTGAGTATCATTAGATATTGCTGATAGCTCCTTTAACATGAGGTGTTTTTGTAGCACCAAAGACCCAAGACCCAAATGGTAGTAAGTGATGTAGCCTGGACTAAAACTTAGGTTTGTGTGACATCAAGTCCATGTTCTTTCCAATTTGCCAGTCAGAAAACTACAGACAACAAGTCAATTCCAGCCCACCATTTGTTTTGGTAAATAAAGTTTTACTGGAGCACAGCCACACTAGTTATTGTTGCTTTCAGACTTCAACAGCAGGTTTGAATAGATGAGACAGAGATCTCACAACCTAAAATATTTACTATCTGGTTCTTTACCAAAAAATGTTTGCCAACCTCTGAACTATATATTGTATCTTCAAATGGTCATTTTTAATCCTAAATCCTGTGTATAAGTTCAACTTTCAATTAAACTTCAGAACAATAAATAATTTATAGAATATACTGTGTGTTGAAAACCATGATAGGCTCTGAAAATAACTTTTTAAATATGTGACTCATCAACAAATTACAATTATATATAATCATCTCAGAGCAAATAAAAAAATTAGTCTCTGAAAAATAAAGTCATTTTATTTGCCCAAACTCATAGTTGACAATGAAAACAAATAAGTGTTTCAGATGATACAACCTGTTCATTGTCTAGAAAAGAACAATGTATTAAATTAATATTCAATAGTTTCTGGATTTGCTACAAGGTAATGGAGCAAGTATTAGCAACCTAAAAAATCTTTAAATTTACTAAGTTATAAAGTCACTGAAGGCAAAGAATAGTTGCCAGCTTATACTTGCAGAACTTGGAAAACTAAGGACAAACACACAAAAAATCGATTATCTTCAAGTCACTGACTCATTATTCCAAATTCCATCTAAAAAGATATAATTTATATTTCACAAAAAACTTGAAATTAACTCATACATTTTTTTCATCCCATAACACTATTTATTTCAATGATTTCCTGAAAATGTGTTGTAAGGTAGAGAAAAAAAGTGTAATTTAGCTGAAGATTTGTGGGTTAATCAAGTCAAGATAAAGCCTATGAAGAATGAGAAAAAAACAATCTGCTGAAAACTTGATGAGAAGCATTTATAAAAATTAGCCAAGTATGAATTTTTTCCTGTTGATCTAGCTGGGGAGAGAGTGTAGCTCTCTTTTACTCCATGGACACAGGTGTAGCACCTGTATCTTCTACACCTCCCAATATGCTTATCCTCCACCTGCCTGCTCATCCTGTGACTCCTGCTGCTATAGTTGCCACCAGAGAATTTGGAAGAGCTCAGAGAAGCAGAGGAGAAAGAAGAAAGGAAGAATGGGCAGTGTATGTATCTGTGTGTGTGTGTGTGTGTGTGTGTGTGTGTGTGTGTGTGTGTGTTCGTTCCCCAAAGAATTTGAAGTGATTTATAAAATAACACCCAATTTAACACAGTTCAAGATACAAAAAAGATAGTCAGAGTTTTAGTGTCCATGGCAGGAATATAGGAAAAAGTAGGGTGGTAAGCATCAATCTCCTTATTATTTATTATGTGTTTCATTTGATAAATGAACCGTGTAAATGTTTCTGAGATTAATAGCAGCCCTAAAGCACTCTCTTGAGCACTTAGTCTCCAGTGTTCATAGTGACCAAGTGATCACAAGAAGTAAATCCAGCAAAGACTAATCTGTCCTTTCCATTTTAGGGCCACACTATAAGGTCTCTTTCTATACATTACAGCGCAATAGCAAAGTCTTATTTTATTTTTTTATTTTATTTTTCCTTTTTTTTTGTTTTGTTGTCGTTCTTTGTTTTTGTTTTTGGTGGCTAGCTGGTACGGGGATCCAAACCCTTGACCTTGATATTACAACCCTGAATTCTAATCAACTGAGCTAACCAGGCAGCCCAAAGTCTTATTTTAAAATCAGGATACATTAAAATTAGAAACTATTATTCATGATGATAAGATAAATCAAAATCCCATGAATGATTTTGATTCTTGGGAATAGTCTTGATTATTTTTAAAAAGACTCTGAGTTTTAAAAGCTGTCCTCTGAAATATAGTCACCTATGCACAGAAATATTCGTTAAAAAAAGAAAGAAAGAAAGCCCTGAGTATTATCACAAACTTAAATGATCTGAAAGAACAAAAGATTCGCCCAGTTTTTACTATTAGCTAAAATATACACATTCACATTCACCTACCTACACAAACCTATGACTCAGTCCATCCTTTGGACAAGTGATGATGCAAAAATGAATCAGTGAGAAATACCAGCATTTAGTGTATCGATCATCCTAAGCCATCAGTCATGAAGAAATATCAAAATGACATTTGGGGTTTACCTACCTACATAGAGAACACCCTCTTTTGTCTTTCCTGCTGCTTCTGCCACACCTTGTTTGGTTTTTTCAGCAGCAGCCACTACTCCCTCCTTGGCCTTTGAAAGTCCTTTCATGAATACATCCATGGCTAATGAATTCCTTTACACCACACTGGAAAACATAAAATACACTTTGAATGAGAACTTTTGGGTAAAACACACACACACACACACACACACACACACACACACACACACACTAATTAAAGCCACCCAAGATAAAAACCACTAAAAACTCAATAGAAACCCCCCAAAGCGTGAGACTTTTTAAAGTGTGTCCTCATTTCAACCATTGGACAAAGCAGCCTACCCGCCCCCCACCCCCGATTTTGCATTCTGAATTTAGCATTTCCCATCCATCTTGGCTAGTAAAAGTCTAGTCTAGTCCATTCTAAACATGGACTAGGATGAATCATCTGAGCTGTTCTTACTGCATTTCAGAAGTGTAGTTGCATGAAAAGATGGAACCGTCTTTCAACTTCCCAAGGTCCAAATGGTGACAGTATATGTCAGAAGCATGTTGGGAAGAAAGGTCACAGGAAAAGAAAGGTAGCTGCAGGCTTAGGGTCAGGGGCATCGTTCAAAAGAATCCCCAAGAGGGCTAACAGGTTGATCGCGGAGGGGAGGGGAGACAGCGACTCCAAAGGGCGCTTGTTCTAATCCACGAGACCATCCACCCCCGCCCTCAGCTATCTGCCCCGAGCAGGCGCGGATCACAGCCACGGCTCCAGGCCGGCACCCGCCACCCGAGGGGGCGTTCTCAGCCAGAACCAACTAGCAGATCCCGGGCACCCACGTGTTAACCCCTTACCACCTGTTAACTTGCCCTTCCTGCGCTTCCATTTAATTGCCAAGCGCAGTTTGCTTACTTTACAGAGAAAATCGAGAAAGCGGTCGGGGATGGGAGGAGGGGGGTTTAAGGGAAGAGAGAAGTAAAAGTTGGATGCTCACGCTCCACCGAGCATCCTTCCTTATCTCCAAGAACAAGCGTACCTGGAGAAGCAGCATGACCTCTCAGCCTTTGAGAGGAGAAGAGGGGAATATGCGAAGCAGGAGGAAAGCCAGGTCGGCTTAATTTCCTGAAGCTCACCAAAGGCACCAGTACCGTTCGCCGAGAGGCTCGCGACAGCGGGTCCTCCTGCACCACCCTCCCCCGCCCCAGCCGTCCATGGCGACTCCTCTCCCTCCAGTTTTCCTCCAGGGTTTCCAAAGATGCCCGTTGAGATCCGCAGGTACTTACCTGAGTCCCTCTGCTTCTCCACAACTCCGATTCCGGCCTCCCTATTTTTTAAAAAACATTTAAACAATTCCCAAATACTATTTAAATGGTAAGAGGGGGGAAAGGAGCGCACTGGAAGGGCGGAGGCGGCAGCAGGAGAGGGACGCTTCCCTGAGGAGGCTGCAGCCAGCACAGGACGACGACGGGAGGCTGGGGGCGTGGGAGGCAACCCCGAGAACCTGTCGTCGAATTGCCACTCCCCGTCCCCCGCCCAGGAGGACCCGAGAGAAAGAGAGAGAGGGTCGAGAGGGAAGGCAGGGAGAGCGCGCGAAGGCTGCGCAGGCGGCGCCCGTGCCCGGGTCTGCCCGGAAGCCTCACACACCTCGGTCCCGCGTCGCCGCGCTCGGTCGCTCGCCCCCTCCCTTGGGCCCTCCTGGTCGTGGCGGCCTTCCTCCTCCTCCTCCTCCTCTGCCTCCGCCTTCTGCTCGGCTCGCCGCCCCCACAGCTGATTTGTCAGCGCCTCTCCCCGCCCCTCTCCCCGCGCTCGCCGCTTACCCTGCCGCGTGCACTTGGCTCCTTTTCTCGGATGGGGATGGGGTGGGGGCGGGGAGGGCCTGCAACTCCAGCCGCCCGCCTGGTCCCGGGAGGCGGCAGGTGGGATGGGCTGCGCTTCACCTCAAGTTCAGGGCCACGGGGACTCTTGCAGCTGTCAGGAGCGGTTAGGCTTGGGCTGTCGCTCCCTCTTTCCCATCCCCCTCCGTCCGTGTCTCCGCCTTCCCTCCCTTCCACAAGGGGACCCCCTCCTCGAGTCAACCCAGGAGAGCCGGGGGGCTGAGGGGTCGACCGCCTACGGAGGAACCTGTCTCTTGGGGAGCTGCTAAAGGAGACAGGGAGCTCGGGAAGCGTGCTCACATCTGCACCGCCAAGAGCACGTTTCCCTCGGATCACTGAAATTTGATAAACGATCGTGGGGCACAACGTTAAGGGTCGCTTTTGTTCAAGATTTTCGTTTGCTCTTAATCTTAGATGAGCCCGAAACAGCCCTGCGGGTGGAGAGGAGACTACTAAGGAAGAGTTACGGGTCGAGGAGACAGGAGGAGGTTCAGCAAATCCTCTTCCCACCCCACTATCACCATTTTCTTTTCCACCAATCGGTGGCTGCCAGACGCTGATTTTCCTATCAGTGAAACAAGGAATAAATAGTCCCCAGCCGTCGAAAACAAGCAGTCACAAGGCGTCTCGCTCTCCAAAGGAAACTTACTTTCCAGACCCAAGTGCATCCTTCCTTATCTAGGAGACAAATCCAGCCTGATTTACCCTCTGGGACCATCACAGCCAATTTCTTCTTCACCCCTTCTCAAAGGTAGATTCTATACATCACTCACCTTTCTGACTTCTGAGTCACGTTGCCCTTGAAACTGACACCCCCATCTCCTTTCCACCACACGCACAGACATATACTCGTGAACTTCAAGACAATTTTTGCATCGTTTAACACATTTTTCACCTCTTTCAGAGCTGCGGGGAACACAACTGTTCCTGGCTCCACCAAATGGAGAACGAAGCTCCTCCCTGTAGCAGAATGTCTCTCCTCTCTTTGCCTGGATAAAGATGAGTTCAGCACTGGAAAAGAAAAGCAAAACAAAACAAAACAAGTTTTGCTCTATGCTTTTTATTTTGCTTTGCTTTTATTTTTGTAGGAAAAAAAATGCTTTCTCTGATCCTTGCACGTATTGTGGTTCTAAAATTTGGGTAAAGTGCAATTTTAAATCTTCAAAAAAACTGTTTGAATCCACAAGGGACAGGAAAGAAATTATTATATATAAAAAATGTACGAAAGATAAAAGATGTATATAAGATACATGTAAGACGTATATATATCTTCACATGTGTTCAGTAGAAAAAAGAAGAGCGTGAAAGAAGTAAAGTCACAGGTATTTTATTTATATTTTTTATGGTAGCACAGTTGATTGCATATATCTGTGGGGTACAGAGTAGAATATCAATACCTGTGTGCAATATGAGGTCACAAATGTTTATTGCTTAACCACATCCTGGAACTTTGAGTCTGCCTTTTTCAAAAGCAACCTTTCTATAATGCAGTAACTCGTATTTTGTGTTTCCTTGGGATGAAAGAACGAAGGTTGGACTTGGGAGCTAGCTTGCTGTCTGCCTTTGATACCTTAAACATGATGTTCTCCTTCTGTTCCAGTTTCCTCTTTTGTAAATAAGGAGGCAAACCCAGATGATCTCTCTTTTCATTTTTTTTTATTATGGAAAATATTCAAACATACACAAACTTACAGAGAATAAAGGGCTCTCATATGAATATCACTCAGCTTTCACAATTTTTCACTGCAAGGCTAATCATGTCTCATCTACAAGCCCATCCACTTTATCACTACCAACCCCTAATTTTCAGTAAATTCAAGCTTTACATATATATTTTCACCTGTAAACATTTCAGCATGCATCCATAAAATAAAACTATTAAAAAATAACCCCAATAGTGTTAGATATTAACATACATTAAAATGCTCAGATCTTAAGTTTCCCTTTAAATCAGTTTTGAAAAATCCATGCATTAGTGTAACACACTATTTTGAAGACACAGAACATGTTCATCACCCCAGAAAGTTCCATTGTAACTTTCTTAGTTGTGCATATTCTGAACTTCACAGAAATGGAATTATGTACTATGAACTTTGTTTGGATCTATCTGATTTCTTTTACTCAGCATAGTATTTTTGAGTGTCATTCATGTTGTTGCATGAATCAGTCATTTATTTCTTTTTATTGTTTTTTATCATCTCTTTTTATTACTGCCAATAATAAGTGTTTTCTACTGTGGCCCCTCAGAACTATGTACCTTGATAGACTTTTATGATAACTATTGAATATAGTCCTTCATGTGACATATTTGACTAATGAGAGAATTATTTGGGGATGGTTGTGCTTCTTATACTGTGATTTCACACCTTTATATGGTACTTTATGTTTGGTTTGATGAAAGACTAATATACAGTGTCATTGATCACAATAAAGCGGGTAAGTTAAATTTTATGTACCTTTTATAGACAGGAAATCTGAGGCTCAGAGTTTTGGTGATAGGCTGAAATCACTTAGCTCCTAAGTGGCAGAGCTGAGATAATCTAGCAGGGACTGCTCTGGAAGGCACAATTGTCTCCTTAATAGGTAGTTATTCTCTGAAGCCTCACAGACTGAGTGTGGCATAGGGTAGAGAGAAAAAGGTGGGACTCAGCTGTGTTAGAAATAACCTTTGAATTTGGATATGACAATGGAAATCAAGAATTTATATTATATTATAAAATGGTGCATTTATATTTGAAATTTTGTCTTTTCTATGTTAGTACTCTTCATAGTGGGGAGATGATTTCTCACCACTCACACACCCAGAAAAAGGAAATTGTAAAATAATTTTTTGCCATTTTGATTTATAATTATAATTCTGTTTTACTCTTTTCTCTCCTCAAAGTGCCTTGAACACAGTAAGCATTCAGTGAACTTTTCATTACAGGTAGTATCAATAGCGATATTGCTTATGCTCTATCTATAGTCTCTTAGCTCTGTATTCTTAAGGAGGTAGAGTTAGTCAAAGACAAAGAAGGGAACTAAAAGTTAATCGAGTTTTTTGTTTCCTTCTTTCTTTTTTTCATCATTGATTGACAGTATGGCCTTGAGTAAATCTTTAGCCTCTCTGAATGTAACTCTAAATTTAAACTAATTGAATGGCTTGTTCCTAATTCCTTATTCTCATAAGGAATACGGAAGAATAACCTACTGGGAAGCATTAGTGATGTGATGTTTTATTAATAACTACCACAGATGTGTTTGGCTTCTCTTCGATAAATGAAATCTAAATATTTTACCACTTCTTAACAGGATGTTTTATCTGGGTTTAATTCATCAATTTAGCTATAGATTAACATGTATGAAATGCATGCTTAACCTAGACTTTGTTTTTGCCACAGTCTAACTGAATTTTTAAGTATACTATGTGGTAAGTTTGTGCTGTAGCAAAGATGGCAGAGTGGATATCAATGAAAATAAGGAAGCTGCCCATGACCAAGTGATTAAAGAGAGGAAATGAACTGATTTCATGTGTTTAGGTGGGGAAAATACAATCTTTACTATTTTGGGATAATATTTCCTATTTGTTGTGAACACAGGGGCAATGTAATGTTAATCCTTGGGTCATCTGCTTCTTATTCTCTATCTGCATCGTCCTCTCATTTCTATATGAGAGATATGAAGTAGTGAGATCTCAACAGACTTTTCTTGGAATTTCATAGTAGGCAGAGGAGGGAAGGCTTAATGCTTACAGCTGGGATGACATTGTGTATGCTTTTGGAAAGGTGGTGAGCTTGAGACAGGACAATAGGGTTGCTACAAAGAAATATGAAGAACAGTGAAGAGAGAGTGTAGTGTCCAAAGAGGATTCTCTAATTCGATCCATGGACGACTTCATATTGTTTCTATAATACCACAGGCAGCAAAAAATAATGGACAGCAATGCAGAATGATTACAAATTGTGACTACAGAAAAATACCATGTGAAATATATAAAATCCGATTGGATATCATTTTAAATATCCCTGTGGTTTTGTTACAGTATGAAGACATGGAAGATTTCAAGACTAAAGAAGGACTTTAAAGCTAGATAGAGAAGATAATTAAATATTTTAGGATCTAGAAAGTTCAAATGATTTCAGTATTAGAAGGAAAAAAACATTGATGAGCCCAAGAAAGCACTCAACTCTGGTGAACATGGTAGACTTCTGAAAGTCAAGGTGCTAGGTACAGCTTAAATGCGGTCTTATCAAGGTTCTACTACCCATTAGCAGTGACTCTGAGAAAGTTTCTAATCTCTCTAATTTCTAGTTTTCTCCTCTATAAAATGGGAATGGTATTTTATTTGTCTTGTTTGATTGTCGTAAGGAATAAATAATATGGTTCTTAGCAAAGAGCCAGGCAAGCACAGTGGAATCTCTCAATACAAGTAGCCATTATTATTACCTAGCCCCATGTTTTGAGGTGCCCCAGGAAACACTTTTTTTCCATTGCAGTGGTTTGCAACCTTATTCTAAGCTCACCCCTCCCCCCCGCCATTCTTCTATTCCACTTTCAACATGCCTTAGGTATCTGATACCTCCCGTCAATAACTTCGACCTACTGTGGTAAGTAAAAAATTTCCAACCAGGGACAGAAGTTGTGGGGAGATGGTGCAGGAGAAACCAAGGAGTACTGATAGGGATATTTAATTAAAAATCCGCCAAACATCTCTTTGCTCTATCTAATGTGTGGGTTACAATAACATCACTTGTTGAAGTTTGCATTAGCAGCCTGAAGAAATATAATAATAGCGGCAGAATTAACAATCGCTTCCTTTATTGACATT